GAGGGAGGGAGGGAGGGGAGAGAGAGAGAGGAGAGAGAGAGAGGGGGAGGGAGGGAGAGAGAGAGAGAGGGAGGGAGGGAGAGAGAGAGGGAGAGGGAGAGGGAGAGAGAGAGAGAGAGGGAGAGAGAGAGACGGAGACAGAGAGGGAGAGAGGGAGGGAGGGAGACCCTGGCTAAGGAGCAGAAGTCATCACTGTTCATGCAACAACGCGATGTGTCGTATAGATCCCAGTTCTTAGTCTTAGAGCATCAGGCTAAGACATCGGATTGGTGTTCAAAGTGCCTTAAAACACTATGCGTCTAAGATCATGTTATTCGCCCTGCATAATTCCAATGTCACTATTACTATTTCCTTTGCTGGCAGGCCATCGATCTTGATGCTGGAGAAAACGCTGAGCTCCGCTACTCCATCAAGGGAGACGTGCAGAAAACACTAAGCGAAGGTAAGTGAAACGCCGAGCTGCGATACATACCTCCAGAAAACAATCAGCGAAGGTGAGTTAAACGCCGAGCCTAATGCAGGAATAGACGTCTACTATGGACGTCAAACCTCTTGAGACCCCACTTTTTTGCGATGATTTTTAAATGCGTCAACTCTCGTTGACAATATTCTGGCAATGTGTGTTTCAGGACCTGCCGAAACTTTTATTACTAAGGTATTTTGACGCCAAACGATTATGAAAGGTACTTCTCATTCACTCGTAATGCTAAGGTCAATTCAGGCCCGGGCAGAGGCTTGCGCTCGGCCACACTCGAGCCCCGCCACCAGCGCCATCTGCTCTAAATGCCATCTACCAGCGCCCGCTACCGCTACCAGCTACCGCCCACCATCAAGCCTGAATGGAGCGAGAGACGCGAGTGACCGGTCGCCGGGCAAGGAGCGCCGGAGGGGTGGGCGGAGCTTAACGCTGACGTCATTACGTGGCTCCGCCCCATGAGCGCGTAGCCTCTACCCAAACAGCAGATTCGTTCCGTGAAATTTAACATTACGAGTGAATGAGGACTACCTTTCATAATCGTTTGGCGTCAAAATACCTTAGTAATAAAAGTTTTGGGAGGTTCTGAAACACACATTGCCAGAATATTGTCAACGAGAATTGACGCCTTTAAAAATTATCGCAAAAAAGTGGGGTCTCAAGGGGTTTGACGCCCATAGTAGAAAACGCTAAGCGAGGGTAAGTGAAACGCCGCAATGCGAAGCATACGTCCAAAAACGCTGAGGGAAAGTAAGTAAAACGCAGAGCTTCTATATGCATAGGCGACCAGCAAACTTCAGCGAAGGTAAGGTCATGATAAAACTGCCATGCCGTCCCTTTCACATGTCAAACATTATTTTTGGAACATCGGCGTTGTTTCTTTTGATGTGAAGTGTTATTAGTGTTAGTAACACATCCGTAATTACAGTCTCCAAAAGCTAGTGTTAGTGCCACACCCATGATTGCAGTCCCTAGTATGTGCTAGTTTCACATACATTCATGCAGTCTCCAAGCTCTGTCATCTGATGTTAGTGTCACGTCTTACAGCGTCTAGTATGAGGAGTTAGTGTCACATCCATAGTTGCAGTCTCTAAAATCTGGTGCTAGTGCCACACTCATCAATGCAGTCTCCAAAGTATGGCTAGTGCTACTTGCATAATTGCAGTCTCCAAGATCTGGTGTTCTTGTCTCATCCATAAATACAGTCTCTAAGATCCTGGGGTGGGTGCCTCATCCATAATTGTAGTCTCCAAGATCTGGTGTTATTGACACACTCATAAATGCAGTCTCCAAGATTTTGCGTTTGTGCCACTTACATAATAGCAGTCGCCGAGATCTATGTCTCATCCATAAATGCAGTCTCCAAGATCTTGTGCTAATGTCCCGTCCATAAATGCAGTCTCCAAGATCCTGGTGCCCGTGGGTGCACAGCCATGATCGCAGTCTCTTAGATTTCGTTGTTACTCCCATCTGTAAATGCAGTCTGTAAAGTCCGGTGTAAGTGCCACAGCCAAAATTGCAGCCCAAATGAGACGTTAGTGCCACATCCTCAATTGCAGTATCTAAGATTTGGTGCTAGGTAGTCCCACATCTACAAATGCTGTCTCCAAGACCTAAAGTTAGTGTCACATACATAGGTGTAGTCTCCAAGATTTTGTGTTAGTGCTACATACATAATTGCAGTCTCTAACATCTTGTTTTATTGTCTCATCCATAAATGCACTCGTTAAGACCTGGCGTTAAGACCACATTCGTCAATGCAGTCTCCAGTATCTGGTGTTAGTGGCACACTCGCCAATGCAGTCTCACATACCTGGTGTTGTTTTGTAACCCGCTGACGCGATTGCTGATGTCTGGTGTTATTGTACTACCTTTTATTGCTGTCTCCAAGATCTAATGCCAGAGTATGCTTTTCCAGGAGGATATTATTTTTGTGTAGACTTGGGTGCAAAAGCAAATTCAGACACTGCTATTAGGCGGCGCGAAGCCTTGTCCTTTGGGTACTGATATCTTTCCATACTCCTCGTGTTTCAGGTTTGGAAACCATAGGAGACATGCCTTTCGTGCTGGACGCAGAGACTGGCATCGTGACGCTCAATTTCGACCCGCAAAAAGGGATGAAAGGCTACTTTGACTTTGTGGTATGTATCCTGCGATGTATGAATTTCCTTGTTTTACCTAATATTTACTTTCAGAGTAGGGTTCAGCTGGGGGTATCGTTTATGCTTCAATTTTGAGCGCTGTTCAACTGTATCGTAGTTATATCTGGGAATCATTTAAATTGCCTTTTCGAGATATCGTAGTCTTTCTGTCAATGCATATTCAACATAGCGCGTATTTATCTCATATTTCAATCCTCTCCGACGATGTATCACATCCATCGATTGTCGCGATATATACTACATAGGGGCTTCAACCTTTTTGTAGACAACTGAAAGATAGAAGAAAATAAACGAAAATAAATGTCACGTTGCACTAGCACATTGTAATTGTCAATGTTTTCATTACGCTTCCCAAGATTATCCGCTAACCGTCTCTCTGTTTCCGATTCCCGCCACCAGGTGTCAGTGGTGGACCGCTCGGGTCTGGGTGACGAGGCGCGAGTGTTCATATATCTCCTGCGGGAGGACCAGCGGGTGAAGTTTGTGCTGAGGATGCAACCCCAGGAGGCCAGAGAGAAGATCGACTACCTGAGAGAGTGAGAGAGGAGTGGAGGGAGAGGGAGGGGGAGGGAGAAGGAGAGGGAGAGAGGGAGGGAGTTCTCACCACCAGAGAGTGAGAGCGAGAAAGAGGGGAGGGAGGAGAGGGAGAGGGGGTAGAGTGAGTGAGTGAGTGAGTGAGTGAGTGAGTGAGTGAGTGAGTGAGAAAGTGAGTGGGAGGGAGGTAGGGAAAGGGAAGGGAGAAAGGGAGAGCAAAGTCTCAGAGAATTGATAGAATATGGGAGGTAGGGAGGATGGATGCCGAGATAGTAAGAGAAGTGCAGACAGGAGACTAGAACAAGGGGAAAGGCACAACAAATCTTTGATAAGAAACACAAAAATATAGGTCATTATAACAAAGTGTGTGGGAACTATGGGGCGTTTATCGTTCAATTTAATGCGACTATTGCGAGCCTGAGACAAATTAGGAGTACTGTATAAAAGGCAGACATTTTGAAACCAGGAGAGGGAAGTCATAAGCCAGAAATCTTACCAAATCGCATCACATGGCTATCTAACCATCCCCTCTCTTACTCTACCCACCGTCCCCGCTCTCCCCCACAGCTACCTGGGTAACGTCTCCGCCTCCATCGTCAACGTGGACGAGTTCAAAGTCCACGAGACTTCCTCCGGAGCCGTGGACCGGACCAAGACTGACCTCTATCTCCATTTTGTGGATCGGAGGGATCATAGTATTCTGGATGTGGACAGAGTGCTGGCGCTGCTGGATCAGAATATTGAGACGCTCGATCCGCTGTTTAAGGTGAGTGACGTCATATTTTAGGGACTTATAGAGGGGGGGGGGGTTCGAAGGTTAGAGGATTAAACGGTAGACGATTCGTTGTGGTAACTAAGGCATGAGGGGAATTTAATCTTCTCTCAAATTTACCTCTTGTTTTTTTAACATAAGAACGAAATGCTGTCGCTACATATCGGTGAACATTAATTAAAACTTTCATAGGTTAATTCACCGACATTATACATACTGGTATCCCGTCTCAAAACTGCAGCTGAGGCATCGCATTTTGCACCTTCCTTTCAACCCGTGCCCATCCCATACCGACTGAACCTCTGGCCCATTAGTTTTCTCTCCCCAATACAAATGTAACGTCCAAACACCCCATGCCGCCCTTTCTCACAAAAGTTTAACCTCTCATGACCTATCACCCCTTGCCTTACCCCCTGGCTCCTCCTCCAGGAGTTCAACGTGCTCTCCACCCGCGCGGCTGCCGCCACGGCGGCGCGGGTTGAGCCGGCGCGGGCCGCTCTGAGCTGGCTGTTGGGGGCGTGCTGTTTCCTCCTGGTTCTGCTGGCTACAGTGCTGGGGGCGTGCCTCAGTCAGAGGGCAAAATACAGGAGGCAGCTGAGGGCCGCCACGGCCACCGCCTTTGGTAGGTGGGGGAAGGATCGAGTATGGGTGAGTATGGGTTGGGTGGGTATGGGTTTGTATTGGGGTGAGTATTGGGATTGAGTATGGGTGGATGGTGACTTGGAGTTGGATGAGGTGTCACATTGTGGCCGTGAGTTTGGGTGGTTGGCTTTGTAGTGGGGCGTTTGATGGGGGTGAGTCCACGTTAGTTTGTGGGTCAATTAGTGGGTATTGGATAGCTGGGCCAAAGGACTAGTGTTTCACTGTTACATTTATAAAGTAGAAGGATGGGGAACGGAATGAGGTAGAGTAGAATTGTGTTGAATATCGGCTAAGTGCAATTTTGGTCAGACCCTTATGACAAAGTGACCCTGAATTTGACCTACTTTGACCCTGACGTAACATAACTCTTGCTTGACCCTGACCCCCCCCCTCTGATCCCTCAGGTTCTCCCTCAGCCACTGTAAGCCGTATATCAGCGGTCCCCAACACCAACGTGCACGCAGTCGAGGGCAGCAACCCTGTATGGATGGGCGCCTTCGATAACACGTGTTACAAGCTGGACTCGCCCGATGGACAGCCGAGCAGCAGGTCAGTAACCATGACAACCGAGCTGGGAGACACAGCGTTGGGAATAGTCGTGTTTTGAGCTATCGTATTCCAGTCGTCCGTGCTATGGTTTGCTATGTTATTGTTATTCAAGTGCGGAAAGCATTATTACAGTAGGAAAACTGTTGTTAGAAAGGAAGAATGGAGGTCATGAAAAAAAACATTCGAAGTTATTAGATATAAAGGTGACGTATTTACCATAAAAACCGTAGATGTGGAGACTAGCTATCATATTTTACCTGATTTTCTTTAGTACCTACCTAAATGCTGCTATTTCCGCAACTCATTACGCATATGAATATCGTCTTTTGCCCACATTTCAAATTCGCCTGAGCCATTACAAATTTTCCGTCGTTCTATGATTACCTCTGCTTTCAATGTTTGATTTCTCTCGACCCATTTCAGCCGTCTCTATGTGGAGGGCGACAGTCTGGACGAGGAGGGCGACAGTCTGGACGAGAACGCCCTCACCGACAGCCTGACACTGTCTGTACAGCAGCAGCAGGAGCTGTTTGCCCAACAACAGAGCAGCAGGTAAGAACGCCCTCACCGACAGCCTGACACTGTCTGTACAGCAGCAGCAGGAGCTGTTTGCCCAACAACAGAGCAGCAGGTAAGAACGCCCTCACCGACAGCCTGACACTGTCTGTACAGCAGCAGCAGGAGCTGTTTGCCCAACAACAGAGCAGCAGGTAAGAACGCCCTCACCGACAGCCTGACACTGTCTGTACAGCAGCAGCAGGAGCTGTTTGCCCAACAACAGAGCAGCAGGTAAGAACGCCCTCACCGACAGCCTGACACTGTCTGTACAGCAGCAGCAGGAGCTGTTTGCCCAACAACAGAGCAGCAGGTAAGAACGCCCTCACCGACAGCCTGACACTGTCTGTTCAGCAGCAGCAGGAACTGTTTGCCCAACAACAGAGCAGCAGGTAAGAACGCCCTCACCGACAGCCTGACACTGTCTGTACAGCAGCAGCAGGAGCTGTTTGTTCAACAACAGAGCAGCAGGTAAGAACGCCCTCACCGACAGCCTGACACTGTCTGTACAGCAGCAGCAGGAGCTGTTTGCCCAACAACAGAGCAGCAGGTAAGAACGCCCTCACCGACAGCCTGACACTGTCTGTACAGCAGCAGCAGGAGCTGTTTGCCCAACAACAGAGCAGCAGGTAAGAACGCCCTCACCGACAGCCTGACACTGTCTGTACAGCAGCAGCAGGAGCTGTTTGCCCAACAACAGAGCAGCAGGTAAGAACGCCCTCACCGATAGTCTGACACTGTCTGTTCAGCAGCAGCAGGAGCTGTTCGCCCAACAACAGAGCAGCAGGTAAGAACGCCCTCACCGACAGTCTGACACTGTCTGTTCAGCAGCAGCAGGAGCTGTTTGCCCAACAACAGAGCAGCAGGTAAGAACGCCCTCACCGACAGCCTGACACTGTCTGTACAGCAGCAGCAGGAGCTGTTTGCTCAACAACAGAGCAGCAGGTAAGAACGCCCTCACCGACAGCCTGACACTGTCTGTACAGCAGCAGCAGGAGCTGTTTGCCCAACAACAGAGCAGCAGGTAAGAACGCCCTCACCGATAGTCTGACACTGTCTGTTCAGCAGCAGCAGGAGCTGTTTACCCAACAACAGAGCAGCAGGTAAGAACGCCCTCACCGACAGCCTGACACTGTCTGTACAGCAGCAGCAGGAGCTGTTTGCTCAACAACAGAGCAGCAGGTAAGAACGCCCTCACCGACAGCCTGACACTGTCTGTACAGCAGCAGCAGGAGCTGTTTGCCCAACAACAGAGCAGCAGGTAAGAACGCCCTCACCGACAGCCTGACACTGTCTGTACAGCAGCAGCAGGAGCTGTTTGCTCAACAACAGAGCAGCAGGTAAGAACGCCCTCACCGACAGCCTGACACTGTCTGTACAGCAGCAGCAGGAGCTGTTCGCCCAACAACAGAGCAGCAGGTAAGAACGCCCTCACCGACAGCCTGACACTGTCTGTACAGCAGCAGCAGGAGCTGTTTGCCCAACAACAGAGCAGCAGGTAAGAACGCCCTCACCGACAGTCTGACACTGTCTGTTCAGCAGCAGCAGGAGCTGTTTGCCCAACAACAGAGCAGCAGGTAAGAACGCCCTCACCGACAGTCTGACACTGTCTGTTCAGCAGCAGCAGGAGCTGTTTGCCCAACAACAGAGCAGCAGGTAAGAACGCCCTCTGAGCTGTTTGACCAACAGAGCAGCAGGTAAGAACGCCCTCTGAGCTGTTTGCCCAACAACAGAGCAGCAGGTAAGAACGCCCTCTGAGCTGTTTGCCCAACAACAGAGCAGCAGGTAAGAACGCCCTCTGAGCTGTTTGCCCAACAACAGAGCAGCAGGTAAAGGGGGGAAAAGAGGGAGAAAAGGTGCGGGAAATAGGTATGCGCACAAACAGGGACGATAGTGGAGAGACTGGGTTTTTATTTATATGACACCAGTGATGGAATTTGTTTTATTGTTCAACTGAAGAAAATCCGTGCAAAAGTAAAGATCCGAGCGGTCCAAGCCTTTTCAAAGCCGTTCATGTTTTTTTTTTTTCTCTCTCGTCAAAATATGTGAAATGGTCGAGAGCTGACTGCTGAGCTTGGCTCTTTGTGTTTCTGTCATATGTGGAACATGGATGCTGCGCTATCCATTGCAAAAGGATGCAAAAGGATGAGTTTTTTTGTCATACCCAATGCTTCATTATGACGCATGGCTGATTCTCATTGCTTCACGTTTTCCGTCTCTAGCTGAAGATGAGTGGCCAAATGACGAATTTCCCTTTTGAAGTTCCTAAAACCATGACCTTTAACGATTATCTGTCTTTCTCAGGTCATCAGCCCGATCTTCTGTCAACTACAACACTCCAGACCCAAGTCACAAAACCACCAACGATCTGGGCCGATATCAGCAAAACATCCTCAGTCAAACTGACCGCCTCATGCCCCGAGGAAAACACGTCGAAACCACAGAGTTGTGACGGCCCGAGGCCGCCGCGCCAGAGACAACTCGTGGCAGAAAAAGGAACTCGAACTGTCGGGTGTCTCCGCGCGGTGGCGCTAGTGCTGAAAGCGAGGCTTGATGAGAAAATTTGATGCCAAAAGTAAGTTGGCATTTGGATTGAAAGAGAAGTGAGTGTTTTGTGTGGTGAATGAACTAAGCCATGTTTTCTAGCGTGTATTCTGTATTTATCTGTGCCTACTACTTGTAAGATGTCGCATGCATTGCTGCGTAACGTATAGGTAAGCAGTGAGAAGGTGTGAACGACTGCATCATGTTGCCAGGATACATGTTCCACCGTTCCGTGCTTCTATCCTCAGGATACTGAAATCCTTCTCCTCCACGCCGCAACCCCCCTCCGGGCTGGGCAGGCAACTTTATCTCATGCGGGCTGCTCCCTTGGAGCGGTACCGCTGCTCCCGAGGGAGCGCACCCCGTAGCCGGGTGCAGTGAGTGCCTTGGGGCTGGGTGGCCTGTCCTCTGGACGGGCTCAGCCCCGGTGACTCACTAGGGTGCCTGCCCAGACCAATGTCTCCCCCTATATTCTAACATCCTCCCGGCTCTGAAATAGTCTCATTGGACCGAAAGGGCCTAACCCAACAAAAAAGGATACATGTTTGAGGCGTAATTGCTTGCTTGTGGTATTTGTACGACCAATTATCAGTCGTTTTATCTCTCCATACATGAATGGTAGGGATGAGCCCTTGTAAACACGGACAAACATCAGGCAATGCATTCGTATTCTGTACTGGCAACGAGTTGATGGAGCCTTGACTGCTGGCTTTGGGGACATTGAGTTTCTACTTTTTAGTTTGAAGAAATGAATAAGGCTGTATAACCAGTTACTCTAATAATCATTTGGAGTATGTGTCGATTGAGTCAAAACAAAGTCGAATAAGTAATCGAATGCCCCAGAGAACCCGCTTATGCCAAGCTTATTCTAATCGAACCAAGAGTATAGAAACACAGCATGTGTGAGCATGTATCGTGTCGTAGCTACGTCAATGACCATATACGTAGATGCATGAATGCGAGGTTTCCAACTTTGTAAGCTACGCTTTAGAATCTAGATGTGTGTCTATGCTTACTGTTCAGATATGTTTTGATCCATTGAAAATCGTGATTCATACTAACAACACAAGTGTCTACGATGAGCATCGTATATGTGTGATTGCGGTTTGCGTGAAATGTTTCAAAATTGATGTGGTTTTGTGACTAACATGATACCTATGGTATGCGAGTTTCGATGACTCGCGTACTAACGTATTACGTGCGCAAATAGAACACCTCATCGCCACGCATCGAACCTAATAAACTGATCGTTTGTATAGGCTTCTTTCATTCCATCAATTCAAAACAGTTTTAGAAATAGGGTCCTCCAGATCGATAACGCATCGAATGTTTTAAATCGGTAGCTTGGATAAAATGCTTGTCAATGAATTAACAACATTTCGTATCTAAAAATCGTCAGTCAAAGCCATCTGTTGAGATTGGCAGAACCTCACATTACTTTAGCTGTGGGCTCAAACCTCACATTACTTTAGCTGTGGGCTCAGGGCTTCACATCCTCTACACTGGTTTCTGGAACCCTTATATTGACACCAATACTGCGTACCGAATTCTTCCCATTTCGTACACACTAGCTGATACAGCACGTTTTTTTTTTTTTTTTGTATGAACATATGGTCGGGATCCAACCAAACCCCGTTGTCGAGAGCTCATTCGAATTTCGACCAATACCTGGCAGGAAATCGCGAGTTTACAACACAGAGACACATACATACATCCCTCAATCGCAGCCGGAACGGAGCTAGTTTGGATGGTGCCGCCCGACGACCAGTCAGCGCCCAGCCGGGGCGAGGTCACGTGCCACGTGGTCACGACACGTGACCTACGGCGGCACGTGATTGGTCGTCCGGTAGAGCTGCGAGTTTTAGGTACGGAGCCCTTGTATTACGCACCCACTACCCATCTTTCTTCATAAAATATTAGGTAGTGATCATAAAACACACTTGCTAATTGGTAGTTTGAAGTTTGCTTGAGTAGTTGTGTGAAGCAGTTGATCGCTCCTCAAGGTGAAAAAATACAAACTGTTTTACGGTGTACATCATATATTGACAGCCACACAGTATCATAACATGCCCGGACCTCTTTCCCGCCCATTTTCCTTCCCGAAGGTTTGCGTGAACTTTTGGCACGCGTTTTCACCATAGTGTATCGATTTTACTTCGACTCAAATGCACACTGGTGCTCTTAGCCCTGGATAAAAGCACAAACTCCTTACAGTTAACAGTTAACATTGCCTTAACACTGCCTTGAGTAGACTAAACGTGCAAGTCATATATAGCTTTTCGCGACTGCAAACAATCCACGAAGCTATCTAAAACCAAACCAGTCTCCAAACAACACAGAAAACGCACACATTGCAGCTACCACACCGCGACTGCGCTGGCAGAGCCATCTAGCGAGTCACAAACTAGAGCTTGCAGTATCGTCCGCCAGCCGGAGGAACGCTCAAACAGAGATCTGGCTCGCAGAAGGCATGGCGTGCCTCGCGAGCGGTTTGTCATGACCTTCCTGACCCTCGGGTACCCCCGGGCGATTTAGCGAACCCTTGGGAGGTCGACTCGAGGAACAACTGGAAAAACGAATCTCAATCCGCTGACCACGCCTTTATCGTGGCGCAAGCAAAAGCAGGCAGTGTATACGCCTAACTCCTAGAAGTTACAGGCTAAAATATTGCATTGCTTGTTCGTATAACTCCTTAACTAACAGACTAATATTCGCTGGCGTCACAATGACAGCGAAAACAGCAAGCAACACACACAGCTATTCTAGAACACAGTGCGCTGTCCTTGGCGGAGAGCGCACACTGAAACTACTACGGAGACGCCAGTGCCGTATTTCGTACGGCGCTCGCACGAAGCTCAGCTAACATATTCTTCCGGGAGATGTCGCCACTGAGAACCTGACCCAACTCCGCCAGCGACACCTATAATTCCACACAGCTTTATAGGTGTCGCCACTAACACCGATTAGTTCTGAAGCCCAACGACAGATGCCACCACTGACCCGATGTAACCCTGTTCAACACAAACCTACGTCTCGGCGTAGACTATTCCGGTTTTCGTAGATACAGTCCTAACTACGCAACCACAACCTTAAACAACCAACCAACACCTAGCATCGTCCCGGTAGAATCCAGCCACAATTATGTACCTACCTTTCCTGACATGAACCGGCGTCAATTAGAGCCCTTCTCCCTAACAGAGTTGCTCGTGACGACTAGAACCCTGTAGACCCCGCAAGTGTCTATTGTAGACACAAGGGGAGTCGGCAAGGGGTATAGCTAGACATATATCGGACATTGGACATAGACAATTAACAACTGGACGTGAAAGTCAGACGGACCAACCTTTGTCTGATTTTTGACTGACACATCAGTATGTCAGTGACAGACCTGACAAATTGACATCTGTATCTGGCAAGCCTTACTTTGACAGCTGACAACTGACCAAGAATACAACATAAACACGAGTACAAACTTGAACACATGGTTGAACCAAACACAGAAAAGCCTCATCCTATTTGAGGACAAACCGACATTCTGTTTCAGGCTAGATACAAATAAAACACAATTTTACTGTCACCTGACAGTAAGACACTAAACTGTCACAATTGACAGACTCTGACAGGACATAAGACACATTTACTGGCAGCATACACAAACCAAACATATGAGAACGCCCACATTACATATCAAGGGCAATGCCAACGGATTCTGATAGCCTACTGACGAATTAACTAAAAGATGTCCTGACGACATGCTAAATCATTCTCGCTTATGGATGAACGAATTGTGTGAGCAAATCAGCCAAGATGACGGACATAAAAATATCACATCCAGCGTGCCAGAAAACAAACTAGGATGTCGACAAACGGAAACTATATAGTACGTCAGTCGTACTGCCGTCGGGAGGAAAAAAGCCGTAAGTCGCATTTTTATCGATTTTTCGTTTTTGATATCGTTGGAAAGCTCTTTTCATGATGCGTTTAATGGTACTGCTGAAACGTGTGTACACTCAAAAATGAAAATATTATATATAATATAAAAATTCAAAAACGGATTTGTTACATCAGGGATAGCAAAACACGCAGGAAGAAAGCCGTATCCTTAAATTCGGCAGATACGGCATTTATACAAAATTTCAAACAAAGTATGTGGAACTGATAAGTCAGGAAGAAAGCCGTATCTTGTAGATACGGCTTTTATTTGATGGTGACCTGTGAAATATGAGCCGAATTGTTGGTCCAGGCAGTTTGGAAGAAAGCCGTATCTACTCATTTAGCATGGCTTCGGCATATCCTGGACGGAACAGTTGAACATTTACACAAACATGCTACGTGATCGTAGCAATATGTGACCATTTATAGGAGAATTTTAATTGAAATAAAATAGGGAGTGAACTTGAAAAGTTTGAAGCCAGCAGAACTTTGCCAGCTCGGTGGTGTCAGCAGAGTGCCGGGCATTCAGTATTTTGATGTGCTAACCAGCCGGGAGCGCCAGTATAATCCGACCGTTCTTTTCCCAACTCTCGTTTTAAAATTCCAATAAAAAATACCCGACCTAGCCTCCCCCATGATTAATTTGGCCTCCCTGTCCCCACCCCACCCCACAACCAAAATAGCATCATGTTAAGTTCGACCCGGTAATCATCATAGACATGCAGCTCGTAGCCGGCACGCTTAGTACGACGACCTACAATCTTTGTCGTAAAACCGTTGAAGATATAGTTGAATATCGTGAAAGGTCGATTGCTATTGCCAACCTCGTCACATTCATTGTGATAGTTGTGACCAGGGACCGATTCGCGTTGGCGCACTAAGGCCCTAGTGACACTTGATTTCAAGCGTCACTATGCGATTTCGGTTCGTGCTGAGCCACTAGCCGATTGGTGTAAAATACCGCTTAGTGTCACTACATTCAAGTGTCACTTGGCCGCCTAGTCTTACTAGCTTCCTAGTGCGCCATCTCGAATCGGCCCCAGGCCCATGTATCTTTGGGACCGTCATCCCCTGTCACTTCCATTCCTGGTCAATGACTTTACCGTCTTCTTTCCCGCTCCCTCATACCCATGATGCTCAATCATATTTGAAATTTAGGCTACCTTGTAGCACCCACACAAGCCCAACATTGTCATATTCTACGGGCAGCTGTCCAGAGCCTACCAGCACAGCTGTGGCCGGTGGAGGATGCAGCAAGGCGTACTGAATAGCCCTCTGCTCTGTTGCAGTAGGCGCTATAATCAGAGCCCTGTGAATACGAGTGCACATTGGGGGCCTTTTGAGGGTGCGCCCTCTAAAGGGCGTTCCCGCAGACGTGTGGAGCTCTCAGCAGTCTAGCGATCTCCGACAATGAGGCGGCATTTGCTTACATCCTCAGCCACGGCACAGTGCTGTCGCCCTAGATGTTTCGCACATGCTTTGTAGATGCAGTTTCTTTACGGGAATTCCTGAAGTTCTTACACCATCCTCTATTTTGGTTCAGGAGCCGGGCGGTTCCGTGCTTGTAGCTGCGCACCACGTGACTTAACAGCGTCCCTTTTCCGGGAACCTTGTGTCCAGCTAATCAGCAACATTCCCACTCATCGTCTCTTGCCCCCTTGAAGTGCTTTTAGGTCTGCAGATCGACGATGGGAGACTACACTATCTCGGTTCTCTCGACATTGTCGCCGTGGCTCCGGCGCAGCGGCAGACCGGCACACTCATCTCTCCGAATATATCGGTGGCTCAGAATTAACTCTGGAGTCCAGTGTAATCAAAAATTGAAGCACCGTACAAAGACAGCATTCGTGATTCCCCTTGTCGGTTGCAGGCACGTAGCCAGGATTTTGCTCAGGGAGGGGCCACAGGTCGCGGCCTAGTGTCGTGTCCCTCCAGAAAAGGAAAACTCCTCGGATTTGGCCCACTATCTTTTGGGGTGTGGTGCAGCTGTGGTTATTTTTTTAAGTTTTATTTTATTTTTCCCCTTTAGAGGGGGGCATGGCCCCTGTGCCCCCCCCCCCTTGGCTACGTCCCTGGACTCGGTTGGTCAAGCTGTCTTTTGATGGCACCCTGCGCAACCAGAATCCAAGAGCCTAAAGTTACGACAATAATGCGATTATGCATGGATGATGTAGTTTAAAATGGGTATCATGTTTGTTTTTGTATCGAACGTTCAATTAAATATCCATACTTGAGAGCTGAAGCAGTGGAACGGAACCAGCAGCGGAACTGCTTTAGTACTTTTATGAACCAATATGCAGTGTCAATACCATGCACCGATGATACTGCTTTTTGACGACAATATGATTAAACAAAAATGGCGATACGGCTTTATTCCCGATCGGTTAACCAATGTATCAGACATACGGCTTTTTTCATGACAGTATTGTTCAGGTATCTCGTACGATGCGGCTTTCTTCCACGATACGGCTTTTTTCGTGAAAGAAAGATTCCGCAAACTCGGGGTTGAATTGGAAGCAAAAAAGTTTTTCGCCTTTTGCTTTTAGGTTAAAATAATTTCCCTTTTATAACCACTTTCATTGGATGTAAAATTTCTTTCCGATCACTGCAGTATGTTTTGTTTCGTTATTGAGCAACGTTAACGAATTTTATAACAAAAAACGCGTTTTTGCCTCTCCTGAACAATTTTCAATTCGAAAAAGTGCCCCAGATACGGCTTTTTTCCTCCCGACGGCAGCGTAGTGCTAGGGTTCAGTCTCCAAGTTGCCTGTAATATTGGAATAATTGGTAGATTTTGGAGCAAGTATTGCTTCAGTATCTGCTCGCTTGAGTCATGACCAGCCTCGTTATTTTTTGTTACCAGATGTTGCCAGTCTGGTAGCTCGATAACGTCACCGGTCTCATTCAGTGCTGCCAGATGCGTGCAGCCAGATCAGCCGAGTACGCCGCGGGCAGTCAGCTGATCACGCAGTATTGTGAACAGTTGCAGCTGCTGCTCGGGTTTCAGTGTATATACCTGTGGAGGGAGAGACGGTATAGCTGTTAGTCCTTATCATCGGTAACAGACGGAAATACTTGAAACAACACTAACAGAGCTGAAAAACAATGACGGCGACACTTCTCAGCCCATTAGAAAACAGGGAATTAACAAAATATGTAACTACAGTATAAAAACAACCCTTGTAAACATTTTGATTAATCAAAGGCGTCGTAAACATACTTTTTATTCGTAAAATATGGGCGGATTACTTGTATGTGTATTATCCAGCGTAAGATGGCCCATCATCCTAAAAGCCCGCTCCACTCCTCACTCCAACCCACCTGCTGCAGTATTTTATGCGGTGACGGCGACTTGACAAATGTCGAGATATAGACGTTGACGAATGTGGCCATCAGAAACTGGCAGTCGAATCGGTCCATTATACCTCCGTGGCCGGGAATCAGGTCACCGAAATCCTGAAACGGCGTTAGAGAGGGGAGATGAGTGGTCGTAGGGGCTAAGGCAGCGGTGAATGAAGGGCAGGGTGAGCGAAAAGCTGAGGGGTGGAATAGCAGTTAGACGGTTGAAGGGGAAAGAGGGACCAACAAGCCATAATCCTGAGTGAGTTAGAGGCGAGGTTAGAAGGGCTGAAGAGGAAAGGAGAATGAGAGGTAAGGTCGGCGCAACCCTGAGAGGGCAGTAGAGTTAAGAGTACAACTAGAGTTTGAGACAGCTAGGACACTAAATAAAAGACGGGTCATCATATCAACCCAATACCGCAAACAGTCATCAGACTTTCCCGAAACATTCGAAAGCTATCATCCATATTACACTGTCCTTCCACCTTCTCCGCATCGCTCTCTAGTCTCTATCCAGATTACTGCGACACCAAACCCAATCCCTCACAAACGAAAGCTCGTGAGTTAGCTTCAAGCTCACCTTGATTTTGAAGGCGCGTTTGAAGCCGCTGGCGAAAAATCCTCCGAACGGTCCAATGATGGAGCTGAACAGGCCCATCACAAAGGCGTGGATCAGGAACGGCGAGAAACGCAGAGTGGGCGACGCGCCGAACTGTGGGAAAGAGAGAGAGAGAGAGAGGTGTGAGATGAGAGAGGGAGGGAGGGAGGGAGACGGAGAGAGAGAGAGAGAGAGAAAGAGAGAGAGAGAGAGAGAGAGAGAGAGAGAGAGAGAGAGAGAGAGAGAGAGAGAGAGAGAGAGAGAGAGAGAGAGAGAGAGAACGTTATGGGGGAGGGAGGCTACAGGGAAGCAGCATAAACAGACTGGATGGCACACAGGACGCAAAGCCAAACCTCCGAATTGTATTGGTCATCGGGTCAATGTTATCGCTTTTTGGCGGATAATAATCACTGCGTGTTATATCACTTCAATGACGGGGTGTCTAAAAAAGCCAAAAATAGCTCTCGATACGGTTACCAGTTGCCAGTCGGTATATTGGCAGATATTATATAGTATCATGACTCGCCAGCCTACAGATAATTACCAGACCACTCACCAGTTTACAGAGGGTTGCCAGACAGCCTGGCAGAGCGTACTCCTGTGGCAGAAATTGGGGCGGTAGGTCGCACTGGTAGCTAACTCCGTCCATGGATTCGCTGTACTCCAGAGGACAGGTGAAGTACGGGTACCGCGCCAGCTGCTGAGAGAGCTGGAACAGAACAGAAATATGACGTTATATAAATAGAAATGACGAATAGATTATATGACGAATAGAAATATGGCAGTTAGGTGAAGTAGGGGAACCGGGCCAGCTGCTGCGAGAGCTGGAACAGAAGAGAAATATGACGTCATTATGGCACTTAGGTAAGGGGGACCGGGCCAGCTGCTGGGAGAGCTGGAACAGAACAGAAATATGACGTCATTGTGGCAGTTAGGTGGAGTACGGGTACCGCGCCAGCTGCTGGGAGAGCTGGAACAGAACAGAAATATGACATCATTGTGGCAGTTAGGTGAAGTGGGGGACCGGGCCAGTTGCTGGGAGAGCTGGAACAGAACAGAAATATGACGTCATTGTGGCAGTTAGGTGAAATAGGGGGACCAGGCCAGCTGCTGTAAGAGCTGGAACAGAACAGAAATATGACGTCATTGTGGCAGTTAGGTGAAGTAGGGGGACCGGGCCAGCTGCTGGGAGAGCTGGAACAGAACAGAAATATGACGTCATTGTGGCAGTTAGGTGAAGTAGGGGGACCAGGTCAGCTGCTGTAAGAGCTGGAACAGAACAGAAATATGACGTCATTGTGGCAGTTAGGTGAAGTAGGGGGACCAGGCCAGCTGCTGTAAGAGCTGGAACAGAACAGAAATATGACGTCATTGTGGCAGTTAGGTGAAGTAGGGGGACCAGGCCAGCTGCTGTAAGAGCTGGAACAGAATAAAAAATATGACGTCATTGTGGCAATTAGGTGAAGTACGGGTACCGGGCCAGCTGCTGAGAGAGCTGAAAAAAGGAATATTACGCCATTATGACAGCAACGGGATAGCTGCTGCTGAAAATGTTTGAATAGAACGAGGAACGTGACACCATTGTGCCACAACAACGCATTTATGAACGCCTAAGTCGCGGCAATTCTCATTCTGCTCAAATGAAACGCAGGTCATAAATATTGGCGCAATATGGCGCATCAGCTTATCTTGTGGAAACAATGGTTACAATCGAGTGAAATGAGTTTTTCTACAAACAAACTCGTTCCTCGCTATTAATCGCTCCTCAAAATAATCGTTACAATAGAGTGAAATGAGTTTTGCCACAAACAAACTCGTTCCTCGCTGTTCCTTACCAGTAGTCCCATCAGCACTGTGGCAAAGCCTCCACCAAGGTAGCCCTCCCAGGTCTTCTTCGGGGACAGCTTGATGAGGGGCGTCCTTCCGAAGAAGAAGCCAAACATGTAGGCCATGACGTCATTGATGATGATCATAGAGACCGGTACGATGAACCTGTGGTAGACCAGGGAGTCAGGCGGGGCTACAGTGGAGCGAGATGTCGCGGGTTCGAATCTGGACTAGTGTAGAGGGTTGATTGACAAAATAAGTTCGAAATTGCATACTGAAAGTATGATGGAGGTAAAGATATTTATAATAACAGAATATGAAAATAAAAGGCAGGCAGCAATTTCATGGCGCACACAATGATTCGTAACAAGTCTTCATCAAGTTCATCTACATCAAGAAAATAGTTTATGGCAGTTTTTATGAAATAAGTATCATGACATAAATCACAACTAATTTAACTAAAAAGAATAGCCTTGCGATGCAAAAAGAAACACAATAACTAAACAAATGTTCACCTCACGCCTACGCTCTGCCTCTTACAGTCCGCTCACCAGATCATGCCCTCAAAGATATTCCGAATAACTCACCAGATCATGCCCTCGAAGATATTCTGAATGATCAGATAGCTCTGGGTGACCACAATCAGCAGCGCCACGTGGGTCCACGCGAACAGTGAGAACTGCTTCATGTAGTACTTCTTCACCAGTGAGAGCACGAACCACACGAAGCCGACGATGTACAGCAGGAAGGAGATCATGCGGTGGTACGTCACGAGCACCCGCAGAAATTCCTGGGGGAAAAACGGGAGAGAGAAAGTGAACGTATGAGAGGTGAGATAAATTTGACCGGGAATATATATTAACACATGGTTTCCCGTGTGTAAATGGTTTTAACGCACGACGTGGATGGGTTGGAGCACGAGTGTGTTAATGCACGAGTGAAACGAGTGCATTAACGCACAAGTACGGAAACATGGTTTCCCGTGTGTAAATGGTTTTAACGCACGACGTGGATGGGTTGGAGCACGAGTGTGTTAATGCACGAGTGAAACGAGTGCATTAACGCACAAGTGCTCCATTCCATCCACGAGTGCGTTAAAACCATTTATGCACGGAAACCATGTGTTAAACTAATTAATACATGCTTAACGGTGCGAATTTGAATTAAAATTAAACTTAGTCCATGACACTAAAAGGGCCTATTATGGAATTCTTAGAATAAAGTCAATGACCCTTCCGAAAAACTTCAGTCGAGAAAGTCATCACTGCACGCGCGTGCACCAATTTAAATTGGTGCACGGCTACCTTCGAATTAACGCACGGTTAATCCCCAGTGAACGCACCGTAAAGTATGTATTAATGAGCATTATACCACCGAGCAGAAACACGCTTTTAGCAGCACGAGCACACACACATGTGAAAGATATCGTGGGAATTATTTCGATTTCGTGGCTCCAATATATCATAATGAAACTGGAAACTGAAAGTGTTACACAATGAATGCATTGTTTATCTAAATACCACCGAGAAAATGCAACAACTAGGAAATGTCATGTCAAAAGACCACAGACCAACACAGACCCTCCAGCATCCCTAGTCACAGGAAGAAATCAACCCTCCCTCTCCCTCCCTCACATACACAAACACTCCCCCCCCCCCCTCCCGGTCACTCACCAGTTTGTTAACCAGAACTATAAAATAGTCCACCAGGCTCTCTCCGTAGAAGAAGTAATTGGAGCAGAGAAGGAACCACCAGCTGAGCGATCGGAACCACGGCAGCCCGTGGATGCGGTACACGGCATAACCAATGTTTATGATCTCGGAGAAACACTTCACCTGCACCGCCAGGGTCTGTGGGGAGAGAGAGAGAGAGAGAGAGAGAGAGAGAGAGAGAGAGAGAGAGAGAGAGAGAGAGAGAGAGAGAGAGAGAGAGGAGAGAGTCAGATTGTGAGCGAGAGGGAATTAGAGTCAGTGTCAGATGAAACCAATGTCAAGAGTAAGACAAAAAATTGGATGTGTCGGTTTCTAGATTTAGAGTTAAAACTAACTCATTGCTACCTTTGGTTCTGTGGAAGCATTATAGATTAAAAAAGAGACGCCTGTCTAAACCAGTAGGTATAACGCCTTTTGGGGCGACTAACGGAGCGAGCGAGAGGGTGGGCCTTGCACGTGCGAAATTGCGAGGGGGTACCTCCAACTGACTTGTGCACGGCACCCTACTAACCGGTCTCTAGCGATGTGCCAAATTTGGGCACAATCGGCCCAGCCGTTCTCGAGATCTGGAAGCGGCACCCTGCACGTGCGCACGTGCAAAATGGGTCCCAACTGACTTGTGCACGGCACCCTACTAACCGGTCCCTAACTGTGTACCAAATTTGAGCGCAATCGGTCGAGCCGTTCTCGAGATCTGGAAACGACCCCTGCACGTGCGCACGTGCAGCAGCACCCCAACTCTGGCACATGGATATGCAGTGCCTAGTGGGTGCCTACCTACATGCCAACTTTCAGCGCAATCGGCCAAGTAGTTACCGAGATATTGCAACAATTACAAAAGTGACACCTCTTCGTTTTGCACGTGGCACGTGCATAAGGGGTCACCCACATGCATCGGGAATAGTCCAATACTTGGTAGAAGGAATGAAGCTACCCTACAAAATTTACCGCATGTAAATCGGTTAAGTAGTTGCTGAGATATAAGCCTCGCAAAAGCGTGACCACGGCCGGCCGGCCGGCCGGCCGGCCGCTCATACTCAGAAATTTCCGTTAATCTAAGGAAAGACTACGCTCGCTTCGCTCGCTCCGTAATAAGAGCAATAAACTATTTAAGTATTATTATTTAGATAGAGGAACAATAACACAACTATTCCCGGAAATAGGGTCAACGTCAACTTACGATATCGCAACGTCCTCACCTACAACACGCATAGCACCCCTGGTCCCATGTACCTACACATGAGGGGCCCTGGTCCAATGTTTATGATACTGTGTGACGTTTAAATGCTTACGATACACACGAGACCCTAGCCCAATGCACATGATACTGTGTTACGTTTACTTACAATGCACATGAGTGCCAGCGGTCCCATGTAGATGATCCAGGCGAATCCGAATATCATAACCCAGGTGAATATGCCGCGGATCACCCAGTTGCGCCACCTGACGGAGAAAATCAGAGTTATACTCAAACTCGGGGTTATACACAGACTTTGGGTTACACTGAGTTACACGCAAACGCATAATAAAAACCAGATGAGACTACGAGTTGCGTTTAAACGGTGAGTTACACTAAAAAAAAAAACAAATAACGTTAAATTCAAAATCCACAGCAACAACAATTAACCCTCTAGTGCCCCCGGTATCATATCTGTAAGTCAATTTGCAGAAAATTCGCGTGCTAATCCTGAAGGCGAAAATTGTTGAAAACCCTGCTGTATCAGAAGTGGTACGTCTTGGTAACCACCTGGTGGCAAAATTTTTAAGTAATGATTTCTCAGTTTCCCACCAGGTGATTTTGAAGAGGGTCAGTTTGTCCTTTGCTGAAAAGCTATTTGAGATGCAAGTGTAAATTTTAGCATTTGAAAAACAAAGAAATAGTTATTTGGAAAAAAACTTGGTATACTGTGAGACAAATGTCCAGCATTTATCACAGTATGTTGCAATACATCGCAGCTATTTCAGGGTCAAAGATATGGACCCCTAATTTGGGGGATACTAGATATGATACAGTGGGCATAGCACTTCAATATTTTCTATGAAATTTTCGCCGCTGCAACATACGGTGTGCCAATACCATAAGTTTTCTCAGGTGATAAGCATTGCAATGGCCTGTGAGTCATTGAAAATGACGATGGTACAAGATGCATAACTTTGTGAAGTTCGCACCTCTGGCGTCAGATAACTCTATTTCGCTCCAGACTCGATATTTCATAACGATATTCGTACGCCTATGCCGCCTCTCATCCTTGTCAATCACCTAACATCTAGCCCCATGAGTGGCCTTACATGCCTCATACATCTCGACTTTCTAACGCTCATAGGAATCTGGTTTTTCCAACTGTTGACGATGATAACAGTGAACTTTTTGATCTGCAGGACACTAGCAGACCATATCTTCTAAACCACGTTTAGGTGACATGCCATCGATGACAAGCTTGTTGATTTCAAGGGACGATCATCCGTGCAAGCATTTATGCTTGTGAACCAAAAATTGAGACTTGACTAGTATGTTTGGGAAAGGAGGATTCAGCGGTCTCTTGCACAATTTCGATATTCCAACAGGGTTGTGGACGGGCTTATGTCTTGTGGGTCTATGTCTTAGCTGGCATGGCCGAAGACTTGCATTAGCAGCCAGCCAGCTCTTTTCATTCATACTGGAGAACGACGACTCACAATTTGTTTGCGATTCAAATCCCCTCCGTTCATTCCCAGTATT